CTTTAACACAGGGTATAACAAAAAAGAAAATTTCAGTATTATTTTTTAAAAGTTCCTAAAATATGTCAAGTACTTCAATTTTATTGCCAGATATTTTTATTAGATTATCAGATAGTATTGTATGTACTTCAATTAAATAAATATTTTTATAATTTTTGATTTCAAGTTTCCTTATTAAGACAAATACTTTTTTAAATCTGTTTGTCAGCTTGAAGTATAAAATATTGGATATATTCGTTCTATTTATGTATGTCTTGTTGAGTAAGTATACCAGATAGGTTCTATAAGTATCCTTACGCATGAAACATACACCTAAGGGATGCAAATAAAACAGTTGAGATTAGTTTTAGTAAATCTTTGATGCATATTTCAATAATCTAACTCTGTTCTTTTACTCTACATATTTCTCCAAGTGTAGCTGCAGTAGTTGGTATATGCTTTATTTTAGCTACTTCGACAGCGTTTTAGTATAAGTCTTTTCATACACACACACGCACACACACATGTGCATAGAGCTATCAGCTTACCACGATACATGTGCATGTGTGTGTGTGTGTGTCAGCGAGTCAAAAGGTGCATCAGCGGAAACTGCAGAAGCAGCAGCAGCAGCCACTCAACCCCAGCTCCAAAACAATAACAACAACAACAGCAAGGATAGCCTGAAAAAGTTGCTAATTAAACTTTTTGCTTGGCGGCTGCTGCTGCTGCTGAGCTTTGGCCCTAACGGGCATCAGGTCGGGCATTTGCCATTGCAGCGAAAGTGTTGCATGTCGAGCAGTCGCCAATCACGGTGTTCACAGTACCAGCTACACACATAACCTATGCCTCCTCTCTCCCTCTCTCGCTCACTCACTATCTCCTCGTCTCCTCTGCTGTGTTCCACATATTCGTTACGCTTTGGCTGGCATTTCGATGTGCTGTCAATGCAATCGCAAGTGAATCCAGCCACAAGTATCACTTTGTCCGCGTGCCGTGTGCTCACTGTACCGTTCCATGCATCCCCTGCAGATCCAGCTGCATTACTCCATACCCATATACCCTCTATATATGTATATCTATTGCTATCTACGCTCTCAGCCGTCTGGCTTCTTGGCATGCTTAATTTCCGCTATTGTTCATAATTTTTATTGCGCTTGTTGCGAATTAGTTTCGGTTACGCCTGATGCCAACACCCCGCTAGCCGACCATCTCTCGCCCCTCGCCCTCTCTGCTCACCCTTAATAGCTAGCAATCAGCCCTTGGTCTGGCCTCATTGCAATTTTTTGCAATTTAAAATTTGTTGCCATAATTGACGGCGTCTTCAGTTAGGGGTTGACTTTTTGTCCGTCGACTTGGCCTACAGGGGCGTTGACAGCGGTTACAACTGCTACTCCAACAACAGCAACAACAACAACAGCAACATGTCTGTTTAACATGACTGCCAACAAGCGATTGGCCATGGGCTTAGGGGGCGAGGGCTGCTGCAGCGTTTAACAGCGCTGACGATGGGTGTAAAACACATTTCAGTTTAAATGTTTGCAGCTCATTGCAATTAAATTGTGGCAGAGGTAGGGCTACAGTGCACTATGGTCAAAAAGTCTGATATTTTGGCATAAAGTCATTTTTTTTTATGTATTCATAACTGAAAATTTAACTTATTTCTTGATTATAGACACATTAGATAAGAAAAAAACGTTTTAAAAAAATTTTTCAAATTAGTCATTTAAATTTAACGCGCAACTAAAGTCAGCTGTTTCAATGCAAGCTTAAATTATCGGTATGCAACGTTAAAATTTATTAAGCTTTGTCATTGTTTTGAGCGTGATTGTTTAAAGAAAAAGAATATTTTAATCATGGAAAGTAAAAGCACACGTATTTAAAATTAATGTTCAGTGTTAGTTTGTCAAGATTGTGAATGTTTAGCTGTGTATGTGCAATTGTTGTTGGTGAAATTTAACAAACAGAGCCGTGTTTCGTGGTGTATTACTTGTTCTGAGCGCGCTTGAGCGCGCAACTAAAAACGACATGTTCAAGATTAATGTTTATATATTCGGAATTAATAAGTTTCCTCTGCCCCTTTTTGTTCCTTTTTGAATAAATTAACATGTTGCAGCCAAATATGAGTTTCGGCGCTTAACGTTGCTGGAAGTTTGGGACAACAACAAGCGCGATGATAGTGCACTTATCATATGGGTAATGGGAAAAGTAAAGAAATCTGATCTCAGTGCTGCTCAGGTGGATATATTTACTGAAAAAATCAGGATTTTTCTGAATCACGTCAAAAAATATTTGCCGCAGTGCAATCGAATGTTGCAAAGATTTAAGGCAACAGAGCTTCTGGAAACCACAAATTTTTATTCAGGAAACTTTGCACCAAGACCTGAAAGTCTTCAATATGGCGCGAGTCCATTGCATGCCTGGATTCTTTTTTTTGAATTCGTCCTAAATGTGTCATATAGGCTCGAAATTCGAAAGTGGCATATTAAGCAGGCTGACAAAATGGAAGTAATGTCTCGAAAAAAGAATATTCAAGACATGATGTGGAAACAAATGGGTCTCCATATAAACATGCCCAAGCAAAACGGTAGTGGCAATAGTAATGACGGAAACACAGCCAGAAGAGCCTTCTCTAATACCCTTTTGTTTTCATCAGTAACAAACTTTGATCAAGCCCTTCTACACAATTTCTTTTTTATTTTGATTACCATTTCGTCTCACTATTCTGTAGATGTTGACAAATCTAAGGAATTTTGTAAGAGCACATTTTCAATGTACTTAAGTATATATCCTTGGTACCCAATGTCTCCGACTGTCCACAAAATATTAGTACACAGCTGGCAAATTATGAACTCATCCTTAGTTCCGGTTGGATGTTTAGGTGAAAATGCTTCAGAAGCTCGGAACAAATATTACAAAAGTGACAGAAAATCACATGCAAGAAAAAATAGCCGACTAAACACCATGGCTGATGTGTTTTATAGAGCAATGGATTCATCAGATCCGCAAAATAAAAAGAATATGTCTGAATAAAAGACAAAATCGAATTAAAAAGAAAAATCTTCCACAAGATGTCATATATCTTCTAAAGGCAGTATCTCCGCCGACCCAGAAAACTATTAATTCCGATCCGGAAAATTCAGATTCGGATTCTAATTTAGATCACGAATCTGACTGACTGACAACGAGGAAGAATAAAAAAATGTATTAAAAAAAAAATTTTTAATAAAATTTTTTAATGTACTAGGGCAGGTGGGTGAAGACATGGGCCAATTAAAAAAAAAAAAAATCCGAAATTCTATAAAAATTTAGCAAAAATATGTACCAAATTTCAAGGCTCTAACATTAAAATTGGACTTTATGCCAAAAAAATCCGACTTTCTGACCATAGTGCAGTGGTTGGGTAAGGAGAAGGAGGGGGAGGATGGGATTGGTATTTGTGATCGCCATCAAACAGTTAGCATTAATCTAACAAGTGTTTGGCCATGTTAAATATTGCTTGATTAGCAACAGCTATAGAAGTCAAGTGCTGAACACAAATCTGTTTAGTGCTCAGTCAACGTAAGTGAGCTGTTAAGAAAGTCAAAAATAGCAGCAACTTTGCTGGCAAATAAATATTGCTACATATCTGTTAAATACCTATCTAGTTTACAGAGCAATGTAAAGTCAATTGAATTTTATTCTACCCCAAGACAATTCGAAGTTTCCAATATTAACATAACATAGCATGTCATGGCATGACATAGCATTTTAGCTTAGTTACATATGTACGACGGGGGAAAGTGTACGGCCAATAGCATTTGCTGTTACTTCACTTCGAAATTCGAATCACTGTTAGCGTTCCGCTATCTGTTATAACATTCTAGCTACGTCCTACTGTACTGTATAAAGGGGCAAGTGTACTGCCAATAGCATCTGCTGTTAACTTCGCATCGAAATTCGAGTTGCTGTTAGCTTTCGGCTTTCTGTTATATCATTCGTCCTGCTATACTTTATGAGGGGGCAAGTGTGCTGCCAATAACAATGGCTGTTAACTTTCCTTCGAAATTCGAATTGCTGTTAGCGTTTCGCAGTCTGTTCCCCAGTCGAACTACTATGTTATCTTTAGCATTGAAAGTAAACTGTTCTGTTCAAGGGGTAGTTTTTTGAGCTGTTAGCAGCAACAGCTGTTAACTATGCTCTCTGTTGGCAGCGAGTGTAAAATGTGAAGGGGAATTTTCGTTTTCAACAGAGTCGAACAGCGCCTGCTTGTATGCATATTTCCTTTTTATGCGACTTTCGCAGTTTGCAGTACAGTTACAGCAGCTGATAGAACTATGCTAATGGACTGTTTTGGCAGGACGAGCTTGTTTGCTTGTTAACTTCTTATTTGATTTTCGAAATGTTAACCCAGCATAGTTTCCTTGTTGCTGTTAAAAACATTTGCTTTGGGATTAGGCTTGTTATGTTAGTCAAAAATCGTTTTATCTTCTGTTGAGTTTAGCATTGCGGTTCAGCCTTTAGAACGCTCTTAACAAGTATTTGCGCCATGACAACAGGTGTGCAGTATGATATGAGCTGTTATTAACTGAAATATTTTTTAATAAGTTTTAATATATTTTTTTTGTTAATTGAAGTTCCTGTTGAATATATAATATATGGACATTAAAAATATATATGGCAAATATTTGCATCACTTACTTTAAAAAAAGTAATAATAATAAAATCGCGATTAATATAATTAAATTTAATCTAATCGTTTTATCTTTTATTTTTATAACACTTTAAGTTTATTTAATACTTTCTACACCAATAGAATACTTGCTGAACGCCATTCCAATTTCAATTGGACCGCTCTCGTTGGTTTCGTAGGTCGTGAGCAAAGAGAAGGACAACCTCTTATCAGTTGTTGGCTTATCAGCAGCATTTGTAGACGCTGCGTGGGGTGAGTTTCGGAGTGCCCATTTGACTCTCTTATTGGCGACCGAAATGTCCAAGGCATTACCCGAACGGCTAACGCCAGCCACTTCGGCTGCGCGTGGTGGGTTGACTGCCGAGCACTTCGGCAACGGCGACACGAAGCGGCGCGTCGCTGCCCGCTGATTGAGTTGAGAATTTATTGGCGCAAAAAACGAAGAAGCTTCAGTCTCGTGTTTGTTGTGCGCTCGTAAGGATGTGTCCGCAGCCGCTGACGGACCTCGTGCGTTCGCGTCGCGTGTGCGCGCGTTCCCAACGCTGAACGCTTCAGCCGTGTTTCAATCGCTTTTCCATGCCAACAAATTAAACACAAAAGGAAATTGAAAAAATAAAATAAAATAAATAAGAAGAAAATTAAAATATTCTGAAAAACGCCAAAGGCGAGTGTTGAAATAATAAAAGTCAAGTGTGTAATTAATGTTTTATTTAGTGTTCCGTTCGTGTGGCAGCCACCGGCTGCAGCAAGCGGCAGCAGCCCAATAAGCGGCCAACAAGTGCAACAACAGCCAACAACGAAAAGGTGCCTACAACTGACCCACAATTTGCACTAAAACATAACTCACTGCACCGCACCTACAGCCCCCCAACAACCCAACAACCCAACCCCTCAACCACCTAATTCCACCATTTGCACATACCGCAACCCTTCGGGGCATGCCACACTTTTGAGGCATGCAAATTTTTGGCGTTGCATATTCCTGTACACAATCAAATTTCTTTTCGGGGCCTCGCCGCAAATGCAAATAATTTCGCATTTATGCAAAGCGCCCAAAGCGTTTCGCGCCACGCCCCCTTTGGCATTTGACGCCTAAACTTGAATGAAAGTTGATGCTCAAAACAAAAGAGAATTGCAACTAGATCTGAGCTTAAATGGATCTTACACCAAAAAAGTTTGGAATATTTTTTTTTTTTTTATATCTGAATAGTAAACCAAAAATGAGGAAAAAGGCAAATTATTTTAAGTTACGAAAATCTTATTTTAAAATTTATGCAAAAAACTAAAGAAAACATCTTAAGGAAATTTAATATAAAATACATAAATATAAAATGTAATAATAAAAAAAAATAATAATATTAAACAAAGCTTAAAAAAACACAAATAATATAATTTAGAATTAAAAAAAAAAAGTAATAATAAAAAATTTTAGTAAAATTTGCACAAAGCTTAAGAAAATTTTTGGCTTTGGGCCACAAAATCTTACAATCAAATTAATTATTTAAAACGGGGAAAAAAAAACTTTGGACATATTTTTCTTTTTAGCTTAAGTTAAAAGTTCTAAACTTGATAAAGCCCTGCCACGCCCAGCAGCGTGAACGCCTTTCAATTAATTAGTTTAATTAGTGTGGGCTGTTGGCGCTTTTGCTTAACCGAAAGAATTGTTTTGGCATTTGCAAAACGACTTTGAAAACTTTCGCAAAAGGCGCTCAGGCCGAATTCTAATGGCAAACCTTAACGCACAAGCACACACACACACGCACACGCACACACAATGAGTCGAAAAAGGACCTCGATCAACGTTTCATGTGCCATTTAACAAACACTAAGCGAACCCTTTGCGACCATTTTTCTTAATTTCATTCGCTTCTTCTCGGCAATGGCAACAGCAGCTCAGTCAATTGCTCTAAATATTTGAATACCCTGCAAATGGGCATATGCGTGCGGATGTGCAAGTTGTAACAAGTGCATGTAGAGTGAAAGAGTGGGCGAGAGCTGACAGAGTAGAGCGAGAGAGACAGTTAATGTGGGCTTCCGTCAGTCGGGCAATCGGTATAAAAATTATATAAATCGATTGTATATGATATATATCGAATGAGTCTAATATCGACAGCTTAACTCGGATCTACCTACTCAGGCAACGATAGCTATAAATCTCTCCTCTCTCTCTTAAAATTACTGCTATATAGGCATCACATTTGCATACCCCATCGGCTGCTTTTCTAGGGTATGAAATGTTCGTCATGTGCGTTTTTTAATGTTGCTCATTGGCCAGTTGTTTTTTTTTTTTTATGCTTGGCCATTTCGTTTTGGGGGCAATAAAAGCCGCCAGCGACTTAAGACATTTCGTGGCTCTAAATGGCAGCAGGAGGCATGCGGCTTGGGGCATGTGGGCTGGGGGCTTGTGGCAGGCTCTGTGCGGCAGCCAGTGAAAGCAAACTAAAAGAAAATTTATTTACTTTGCCACTGAATTTGCGCTGATTTCGTGTTGTTGTTTTTGCTGCTGCTGCTGCGGCTGCTGCTGTTGTTGTTGTTGTTGTTGTTGTTGTTGCCACTGACCGTTGCCCCAATGGCCTGCTGCTCGATTGCCTCATTTGTTGTTTGCCCCACTCAACAGCAACAACAACAGCAGCAAGAAAAGTGGGCAACAGCAAAAAATGTTTGTCAACAAACGCAGCCAAGCACAAAAATAATATTAAAAAAAAAAAAAACTAAGTTGAAGGCAAAGCCAAAGATGCCACACACACACATCTCTCTCTCTCTCTCTCTGTCTCTCTCGCTCTCTGTGTAGGGCATATTTTTGGCTCAAGTGTGCCACGTCCGGCGCACAACTATGAGTATTTTAAAATTTGTGGCACGTGCCCCAAATAGCAAACATCAGCAAATAATAAATTCATTGTAAGCCAACGCACGGCGCTGCCTGTACTTGAGCAGCGGCCAAGTACGAGCCAAAGGGGCATGCGGCATGCAGCATGTGGCATGTGGCATGCGGCATCTGGTATGGAGCATGTACCAGAGATGAGTGGTTGACCGGCTGTGCAACCAAATTAGCTGCTTTACTTTCTTTTCTGCTCATTTCTATTCGTTCTCCTTCTCCTTCGACTCCTCCTACTCCTCCTCCTTCTCCTTCGCCTCTTCTTTCATTTATTTTGTTGGGCAGCTAAGCTCGGTTTACGGCACGCTTAGCCATTAGGTTTGTGTGAGTGGCATGCAACAACTGTAGCGCAGACAAATACCAAAAACTACATGCCGCATCTTGCGGCACAGGCGGCCATTGTGGCCTGCACTTGCAGCAATTACAATTGCATTTGTGTGCGTGTGTGCATTTTCTTTCTCCTTATGTGGCAACACCTGCTGCGGCTGCGGCTGCGGCTGCTTCGATACTTGAGAAAAGCTGCAGCTCCAGCTGCACTTGAGCTGCGTGTTGCTATTCATTGTGCAACGTGTGGCATCATAAGCTGCAGTCAGCGCTGCAGCAGCTACAGACAAATGCTTGCAACATAACGTTGACACGCGGCTTTTGTTGCTCGCCTTTGAATTTCAGTGGCTCTTGTAGTCTTCTGTAACAGTGTGTGTATCAGTGTGTGTGTGTGTGTGTGTGTGCGTGCAACCTGTGTAATTTTCATTGGAATTAAGTTTGTTTCTCAGCAATCAAAATTCTTGATGAATTATTTTTAGCGAAAGTAATTTTTTTTTTTTTTTTTTTTTTTGTCTAACATTTTAGCTGCAAGAGAAAAATGTTTTAAATTATTGTTAAAATATAGATAAAAATAATACATCTATAAAACTGTGTTTCAAAACTGTTTCAGAAAAACGGTTAATGTGAGTGAAAATAAGTGAAATTTGTTTGTTGAATAACAATATAGAAAAAAATATTTAAGAAAATCATACAAGAGTATTTAAAAGGCAGTAAAATATACGTTTGAAAAAAAAATATATATATATATTTATATATATAGGAGTTTTTATTATTCTCTGTAAATCACATTTTAATAAATACCAAATGGGAGTAAAAATAAATGAAAATAGAAAATTCCAAGAAATTGCGAATACAAAATAAATAGTTCAATATATTCTAATAGTGAAATGTTACCAGTAAAAATAATATCAAATGAAATAGAATGTAAATTTAAAGAGGAGAAATCTATTTTATTTATTTTCCAAAGAAAATTAATAGGGAATGTTATGCTGTCAAATGATTTAAAGACTATTTGCTTTTGCTTAAAAATATATTTTAGATATATTTTCAACTGAAATCATTTTAAATTTATTAAAGCGATGACAATATTTATTTATTTATTTATTTATTTATTTATTTTTTTTTTTTCAGCTTTTGTATATTTTTGAGACTAGATATAAAGACTAAATTATATCAGATCTTTTCGTGTGTTTTTTTTTTTTTTTTGTTATGTCTATATGAAAAAATTTTAAATATGGTTATTATTTCATTTGAAAATTTGGCACTTAAAAAAATGCAATTTAGTATATTTATATAAAAGTATTGCCTATTAATTGAATATGAAAATGAATTTTGTCTTATAGTTTCTTAATATAAAATTTTTGTTTTCATTAATGGAATATGATTTTCTTATTTTTAAGATATTTTCTGAACCAGATCACTGATATATTTTAAAAATAATTTGTTTCATAAATCAAAGCAGATTTGCTAGAGTAATTTTGTATGAAAATAATTTTCAATATAAAATATGACAAATTTTTAAAATATGACTTCAACCACCAAGCCAATTGAAATAACTATATTATTTTATTTAATTTTTTATTTTCACATTTACTTTATATTTCTTGCAAATCAACGTAAATCATTATAAAGAATTCTTGGTCTGTGCTGTGCCCTTTGGCCAATTCTTCTTCTTCTTCTTTACCTAGCTCTAATTATCGCTCTTGTGCAGCTGAAGCGGAAAGGGATAAAAACTTCACTATTTATTCGCGTGCATTTGCGACATGTCAAAGCTTTTCATTTATATCAGATGCTTATTCGCAGCAAATTTATTCTCTTCTTCTTCCTCTTCTTTTTTTTTTGCATTATTTATTTATGCAACTTCATTGCGCCGCGCCCCGCTCAGCTTTCACTTTGCTTCTTCCTCCATTTCCGCTGGCTTAATTCATTTTTTATTTCAACGTAAATAAGCAGTAAATTACAAGCTGCAACAGCAACAGTTGTTGCTCTCCCAGTTGTTGCCGTTGCTGTTGCTGCTTGTCCTTTGCATATTTCGTGTAATATTGTTGCTTACTTTATGTAGCCGAGTCCTTGCCGCTAGCTCAGCCATATTTCTGCTTGCCCCGCCCAGCACCTACACCTGCCCCTGCCCATGCCCCTGCACCTGCCCAGTGGCAAGTGTCAGCTGCCTGCCGTTAGCCCCATCTGCTCGTTGCTATTCATTAACAACCTGCGCAATTTAAGTTCAAGTTCTGTCAGCTCCAACAGTAGCATTCGGTTGCATTTTTCTACACTGCGCGAAACGCTGTTTCGTTTTGTCATAACTGCAAATCGGCTAGTGACATCTGAACTATTTACTCGGGGATTTCTTGTCCACTTGCTCGGCCCTGCCCCGCCTCACCAAGTCTAAACTCCGGCTGTCAACCCTTCAGCAGTTACTTTTGTGGAATAGAAAGAAAATGCTGAACTGAAATGTTCGCTGGCAGTTTAATTGCTTTGCTTTGCTGCATCGACAACTGCTCATTAGCTGGGCCAAAAGAGTGCGGCTGGAGTGAGGGGGAGGCTAACTTGTTGAGTTGGTCAGCAGCAGTTGGCAACCACTTGATGAGGCTCGAGCTGGCCCCAAGTCGTTAAGGTGCTTAGCGCTAGGCGACTCCAGGCAAGACACTCCACCCTGAGAGTCCACTGCGAGGCTAACAGCTAACGGCAAACGGCAACGCAACTGTAAATGTTACTATTAGCCATTAGTGGGCTTCAGCGTCTTTGTTTGGATTAGACGGCGTCTACGCTCGTTAAGTGTCAGGTGCTTACGCAGCGCCTACTCCCAGTCAAAGACACGGGCCGTCTATATAGTGATTATATGTATATAACGATTATATGTCTGCCATACATATTTCATTTAAAAGCATAGTCAATCGTGAGACAGCAACGTTATAATTATAGTGAACGGTAAAGAAATGTGTCCCTGATGTGTGCTGTTCGATGAATTTTACTATAACTTAAAGGTGTTTACTGGCAAGTGAGCAAAACTTGAGTTGAACAGAGGAGAAAAGAATGGAATAGAATGTGCTCTACAATAGAATAATATATAATATAATACAATGAGATGAAAGCTTAACCTGATTGTGCATGTTTTATTACAATAAATTGTTGGCATTCAAAGCGTCCTACAAATCAGAGAAACATTTGAACAAGTTTCTGAGCAACTCGAAATTCTCGGCTTTTATTTCCAAGAACTCGCCCCCGTAGAATCCTGAGTTGTTTATACACAATGAAGTGCACTGGGAGTCGAGCCCCACTTACGGATTTCTGGCTCTCTTGACTTCTCAGTATCAAATCAATTAATGATTAAATTTAGAATTTATTCAGAAATACTGAAAATCAAATAAAACAAAAAAGGCACAGAAAATATGTAAAATTCATTGGAAGTTCATTTAATTTAATAATTAATAGGGATTTTGTTGTTATTTATTTATTTATTTATTTATTAATATATTTATTTATTTATTTATTTATTTATTTATTTATTCATTCATTCATTCATTTATTTATTTTTTTATTTATTTATATGGGACACTTTATTTTTAATCAATTTATTGCAAAAGTTACAGCTCACTTAATTTTTGTGTGTGTATGTGTTTTTTTTTATAAACATTTTTTGTTAATAAATGTGTAATTAAAAATTTTTTAAATTCATTTTATATATTTGAATTTTATATCTTTTAGTTCATTTATTTTTTAGCCACTTAAAAACAGTTTGTCTATCAATTTACTATGTTAAAAATTCCATCTTACTCATTTCTTTGCTTTTTGCATAGAGCATTTCTTTCGCATGCCTATAGAGACAATAAAAATTCCAAGTCAAGTTAATAATACTGTTAAGCCTAACAGCTTATTTATTTTAAAAATAATGTAAACACTGAAGCAGAAATAATTCTTTGTCCATTCAGTTGGCAAATGTGTTGAACGCAATAATCTCTGCTTTCGAGCTTAAGTCCTGCTCTTGATTCTCTGTAACTAACAACATTTTAATGACGTTCAACAGGGCAAATAAATGTTGAGCGGGATTCACACTGAATTCGCAAAAAAAAAAAAAAAAAAAAAAAAAAAAAAGAAGAGAGATAATAGAAACTAAAAAGTCAGGTGGAAAACAAAACATTTGAATAACCTTTATTGCAGCTGCACACAAATGGGGTTTGCTGCCACAGAGTGAGGGGCTTGCATTTTTGTGGAGCAATTGTTAGCCGAACATAAATGTGTGCACAGGGGTGTGCCAGCAGTGGGAGTTGGATTTCACAATTTTACTCTATGCACACTTGTGCATGTTCCTGGCAGATTCAAGTCCAAAATAATATACGCATAGCCACAAAAACTTATTTACCCGAAAATGTTTTTATGTTCCATGTGCGGACAGTCAGATGTGTAGCTACGTCTATAAACATACATATATATATTAACACACAATATATATTGTATATGCAATGAGAGAAATGTAAGAAAAAACTTTAATTACCAGCTTCGTGCAGACAGCAACAGCAGCCCGAACAGAACTGAGAGCAACAAAAGTGAAAAGGGAGAATATGTAGTAATAACACATAAATCAACGTGTGGAACAACAATTTGTTTATCCCAAAAACTTGCTGCATTTTCATTTGAAAGCCAAACGGGCTGCAATATGAAATTTTCTATATGAAAGTGTTTTATTTTAAAGGCACAGGCAAAGGAAACTTGTTGGCAAATATTAAAAGTAAATTCGAGTTGTGGACTCTACAACAGGAAAAGCAAAATGAACATGTAAATTATATTCTGCAAATACCAATAAAAATAGCAAATATATTTCAGGTTTTCTTTCAATGATTGATAGTTAGTTTAGATAAAAACAGATATTTGAAAACCTGCAATGCTAACAGTTCATCAGAGTAACAAGACAAAAGATGCATCAAAAGTTGGTAACAAAGTCTACTGAATATAAAGGTTCTTCAAATGGGCTTATAGATAACAAGCTTATATTGTGTGTGCATGAAACCTTTGTTAGTTCAAAATAATTACCTTGTATACGAGTGCAGCCCTGGCGCATGTAAATATACATATATTTCTATTAAAGTGTTTTTATATATACAAATAAATATATACAAATATTTGTATATATAGTTTTTATTTTAATATTTGTTATGCTGTCGAGCTACAACCATATTTAAAAAACTTACATTTTTTCAAGAGTTGATATATTCAATAAAAAATATTTGCCAACAAAAAAGTTCTCGTAAGCTTTAATTATTCAACAGAGTTAAGAGTTTTGATTAAAAGTTAAAAAGCACAATTTTACAAATAATGATTAAAACACTTGAAACTGTTTGTGTTTTTCTTTGCAGTTAAGTTGAGAGAGAAATGAGTTGTGTGTGCCTGCATAAGAATCCAATTTTTGTTAGCTACTTTATAGTTTAATATAATTATGCATAGACAGCTCATTGCCGTTAACTAAATAAAGTAGAAATGAAATTTGTGACACATGTTTTTAATATTTTATTTTATTTATATTTTAATATAAAATATTACTGCAATTTTTCAGGCAAACTTTAACAATTAATTCGACTAGTCAGATTAGATTAGATTCGTATACCCTCTTCCACATTCTTTGTCTTTGCAAGCCAATTAATAGTTTATAGATTTTTAAAATATTTTATATAGTAGCTCTTCTCTCTATATATATAGAAGTATGGGAAACGCTTGTCAGTGCTTAAGCTAGAAGCTCTTAGCTGGCCTGGAGGTTGAGCATTGGGGTTGCCCTAAAAAAAAACTTTGAGCTGAATTGAAGTTGAGGTGAAATCTTTATTAATTAAATTGATCGCAAAAGTGGGATGCTGCAGCAGCTCCTGTATCAATGACAGCGTCTGTTGGCCTGCTCAGCCTTTGCGTTTTGGGGCATACGCAACATGCCACAAATGGGGGCAAAGAATTAAAAGGTGCAGCGAAAACTTTCGTTTCAGTTTTGTAACTGTGCAAACGTTAAAATGAAAGTTTTTAAAAGCAACCACAACATTTACGGCATGTGTGTATGAGAGAGAGAGAGAGAGATAGAGAGGTGATGTTGTTGCTGTTGTTGTTCAAGCTGTAGTTAAGCTTGTTGCTGGTGCTGCTGCTGTTGCTGCTAGCTGTGTAGCATGTTCCGCATCAAAGTGGCAGCTTTAAGGCGCTTACTGCTCAGTTTGCACTTTTTATAGTCAAAAGGCAACACGCCAAGTTGCAGCAGCAACAACAATTGCAAACAGCACCATTTGTTGCCACATGTTGTAACTGTTGTCGCATTAAATGTGCAACCCTCAGCTGCGGTTCAATGTTGCTGCTGCTGTTGTTGTTGTCGTTGTTGTTGCTGCTGCTGCTGCTGCTGTTGCGAATTTCACTTTTATGTTGGCGCATCCTACGCTGCTTTTATGCTGCTGTAGCCGCTGCAGCGCCGCACCACCTCGGCCCAGCTCCATTAGTTCACTGGGCACCACCAGCGGAGATTTCACTTCATTTTATGCTGTCAGACTTCCGAGTGCGCCGAGTTCTTGTTATAAAAAAGCCAAATTCATTTTGCACATATAACTTTTATAACCCACACATACACACACAGACCTCTCTCAATCTCACTCTCAGTCTCTCTATGTCTATGTGTGTGTGTTGTGTTTATGCTCCCTGCTGCTTCAACTTGACATCTCCTGGTTAATTCTGCAACCGCAGCTCGAAAATGACAGGCGCACACAGTTGGAAACTCGTTTTTTGTTGGCGCATTTGCAGTTCCCTTTGGGGCATTATTTATTGACGGCCAAAAGGGCTGCTAGCCCATTTTGCAAGCGAACGAATTCGAGCAGAAATTTGGCATTTTCATATATATATTTTTTATATGGAATTAGAAATTGGCTCGTGCATTCGAGAAGAAAAATCTGAAATGAACGTGTGTATATAATAGTCTCCTTTAAACTATTCGAGTCTCAGAAAACTATCCTGTGCATATACAGTACACTCTTTATTATTGTATAAAATCCTTACACATTACTCCTGTACTTAAATCCTTTCAATTCATTAAATTAGAGTGCGCAAATATTCCATGCCTCCATATTTACGCACATTGAAAGTCAACATGAATTTCTCTTAGTAGATAAATATAGCTTTCACTAATCAATTTCGAAAACATAAATAAAACTCTTGCAATCTTTTCAGCAGCTAATAATCAAATATTGGCACAATGAAAATAAACATTCTTTTCCATTTTACAGCTTCAATAAAATGATAACCTGAGGCTTCGACTCTGCATGTAAACAGTTTAAATTGAAAATTCAAAAGTATAAATAAAAAACTAGTAAAAACATTAAGCGAGGCAGAGAGAGAAGGAGACAGAGAGAGAGAGAAAGAGAAAGCGTAACAAGAGAAAGAGAGAGTAACAAATTGGCCAACGAAAGTAAACAAAAATATAATTCAATTGAATAACCCATGGGCGAAAACTAAAACCCATCCAAATACCATTAAAAATAAGAAAAAAAAATTTAAAAAAAAAAAAAAAAAATCACGCAACGTAAACCACCGCAAAGCATTTGCTTTCAGAAAGAGATAAATATATAGAAAAGGATACAAATTGAAACAGCAGCAACAGCCGCAAAAGCCACGCCCACAAAATGACGCTGCGCATATCGGTGAAATCGAGAAATCATCTTGGACTCATTATTTATGGCTTTGTCTGGCTGCTGATAACGACAACAACATCAACAATGCCATCCATCGAAGCTGGACGAATTTTCGGTGAGTTGAACAAAACACGATTTGCACTTCTTCTTCTTCTTCTTCAGTATTTCCATTTTCTTAGCCACATTTCTATCGGTCTCTGTTGGAAAATATTCCATGAGCTCTTTTTTCTTTCATTTTCATTTTCCACTTTTTCTTTGTGGCCTTTATTAATGCACACAGTTTCCAGCTAATGGAATTTTTAATGCAATGAAAACGCAATGTGGACACATTTCACAAATTGGCTAAAATAAGTGAGAGCTGCGCAAGAAATGCAAATTGACAACCCTTCAGCGTCTTCTTCGTGCGCCCATACCCTGCAAGCTTTCGAGTTTTTAGAGGGTATGCGGGGGTGTTTAGTGTAGATTAAAAATATATAAATATTAATGGAAAGATTCAAATTATATAAAGGCTGGAGTTTTAAAAGATTGAGGATTTGGATAGTATTAATATATAATTTATTTATATAATAAATTATATTTAAAAATTAAAATTGCATTATGTTTATATAGGTAATATTGCACTACTACTATACTATCCGAATGAAATTTTTTACATACTGGTTAATGTAACTCAAATTTCTTTCTACTAAAGCTAGCTTTATGTTAGATCTGTATATAACCAGAGGTTTTCATTGATAACAGTTAAGGTAATAATTGTCATTTTTTTTTAAATTTATTTATTTATTTTTTTAATATTCTTATTTTATTTTATTTATTTTTATTTTTTTATACCCTGAACCCATTGAAAATGGGAAATCAGGGTATAATGGTTTTGTGAAAAGTATGTAACAGGCAGAAGGAATCATCGCAGACCCCATAAAGTATATATATTCTTGATCAGGACGACGAGCTGAGTCGATATAGCCCTGTCCGTCTGTCCGTCCGTCCGTCCGTCCGTATGAGCAAAAGGATCTCAGAAGATATAAGAGCTAGAGAGCTGAAATTTGGCATGCATACTCGTGTATACCATAGGCAGTACGAGTTTGCTTTATTTTTTCGATAACTAATCCGATAACTTTTTTATCGAGAATAATCGGAAAATCGACTTGGTTTTTTCAGCCTAATTTGAACACTTTTAGACCTGAAGGCTTCAAATTTGCGTTGTGTATAAAGTTAATGGATACAAAGATTTTGTAATTTACAGATTTTGGATACCACGCCCCATTCGCCCCCAATTTGTAAAAAACGCATTTCAAGTACTAGAGACTTGTGCTTTGGAATGTACACACATTTTAACCATATGATTACGCTCTGAAAGTTTCTTTAAGATCGTATGTCTACAATAGAAATTATTCAACAAATAAATTCTCATAATATTGCTCACACTGCTGCGCAGCCCAAGCGCAGTCGCTGCTAGCTGCGCAGTTAGCAGAGCCCGTGCTTATAAGTGCATGTGTATGTATGTATGCATAAAAGAAGTCCAGAATGATTAGAATATCAGCTTTGAGGGTTCAGGGTATCTCCTAGTCGAGCAGTCTCGACTGGAGCCTTCTTACTTGTTTAAATTCATTTTCTTCGATTTTTTAAATATTTTGATGTGCCCTAAGCTTTATTATAATCTACAGTTGGGGTAATTACAGCTTCATCGGCCCACAATTTCCAGCTGACATTCTCTTTAGGTTTGCCAACTTGAAATTGTTTATGTATTATTCATAAATATTTATTGATTTTTTGCTCCTATTTCTATATATAAACATACTTCAGGCCATTTTGAACACATTTCGTATATAGCATACACACTTGCCTCAATACAGTCTTTCTAATTTGTTTGTTTTCTATAATTATGCACATCTAATGGACTTATTCTTGGAAGTACTACTCTTCATTTACAGGGTACTTCTGGGCTGAGCATGCTCACGCGTTAGCTCACTTAATTATACTTTATTGGATTTGGGTCATATCCATGGGTACACGTTATATTTTCGTATTAATTAGTATTACGAAAGGTTTCCTCTCTGTCCGCCTCGCAATGTCATGAACGCTAATGAACTGTACCTTCTGCAGTCCAACCCAACATAACAAACAAGCAAATGCACATATATATGTGTGTGTATGTGTAAAAGTTCCTGTTAAAGTCAATGATTGTGTGTTTTTTATAAAAAATAATTAAATATAATTACATGACTTGAAAACACGTTTGCTCGAAATAAGGGTTTCGATTAGAAGCAGAGAGAGAGAAACAGGGAGTCAAAGAGAGAGGGAGAAAGAGAGGGAGAGGGAAAGAGAGGGAGAGGGGCAGACAGGGAGAGTGAGGCCGCAAGGCTATGTGCTGCGGTCTAATTAACCGCATTCATATATTCATAAATGAAGCGTTTTGTACATGTGGTTCTAATTTACATGTAATTATGGTCGCACAACTAGCACGGCTTTGGCCTATGCAAACACACAATAAACGTGTTGGTAAACGCCGTTTAAGGCGAAGCCTCCATGCCAGAGGGCGGGGCAACGGCAAAGGGATATCAAAACAGCCTTCGCATGGCTAATTGCAGTTTTATCTGCCTGGACGCACTCGAAAAGGCGCACATTAGTTTGTTGTCCGTACAGAAAAAAAAGTAGTTGGCATTTGCCATGATCAAAGCCGAAAACCCACAATAACAAAAACAATAACACCAACAACAACAACAACAACAACCATTGTTGACACACATTTTGTTGTGGCTGGCCCCTAAAAAGTATGCTACGATATTTGTGCACACAAATGAGAGAATTTGCATGGCATCAGGAGGGGCGGCAGGAGGGGCAACAGTAATGCGCAGATAAAAAGAATACACACGCACACACACACGCTTACAACTCTGAAATTTGCATGTGCGTGTGTGTGTGTGTGTGTGTGTCTATGTGTGTTTGTGTGTATTGGCATTAGGCTGGCAGTTGTGCAACACTTTTTGTCGCGCAATTTAAATGACGCTGTCGAGTGCCAACCACCGCAGCCCCGCCGCAACAACAACAGCAACTACTATGGAACTGCAGCCAGGCGTATGCTTTCACACACACACACACACACATACGCTCGTGCAGCATTGAAAGCGTAAAGTTTACGCGCTTGTTTGCTATAATTTCGATTGTTTTCACTGCGCGCAGCAGCCGACGCCGTTGCCATTGCCGCCGTGGTGGCACCGCCACGCCCATCGATAGGTAAACAAGCCCCCCTCTGCACCCCAACAGCGCCGAGACCCTTGCCACAACCCCTGCCCTTCGCTTGTTGCGACAGTTTGCCGTAATTTTCGTTTTATTGATGTGCGCGTCGCTGTTGTTGTTGTTGTTGCTGTTGTTGTTCTTGTAACTTTGCTGGCAGGCAACAACAGCTTGCAGCAGCAACAGCAACAGCAACAGCAAATGCAGTCGCATAAAATATGCCCGATAAGTGGCACACTTTAGCATTTCAGATTTCTGCAGTTGTTGCATGTTTCTGGTTAAGTGCAAGAAAATTGATGCAAAACTTTTGCCCCAAAAATGTTGCACAATTCATGCAGCATGTGCAATTCCAGCTGCGAGCGAAAAACACTTTATGGCCATGCCCTAATTGCCTACAATTAAGTGGACGTCGAATGGGCAACTAATTGAGTGTATATAAAGCTGGCATAGGCCCTAGCCAGAAAGGATGCGCCATAAAGTTAGGATTTCACTTTTACTTAAGGGAATTATTAGCGTAGATATCAATGGACTTATAATGAGTAAATGATAGGTTTAATTCAATTACTACTATTATACTCATATTTATTAGGTGTATAGAGCTAATTTAATAAACGTCTCTCTTCTCTTTCTATGGATGAGACAGCTATTTGCATCAAATAAATACCTCTAATGGAAATATTATTAGGCAGCTTTTAAAGTTTCATAGTTTTTTTTAATCTCTGCGGAATTTGTAAATCGTTGTTCTTGTGGTAACATATCACATATCTAAAAAAATATGCATTAAAAATTTGAAAATCAAGCCCATTGTTCCACAGCCCATAGGCATCATATGTGGCTCGAGTATAAAAACATTTTCATTGAAATTTCTTTGGCATTTGTGTTGGATTTTCTATATATTTATTTTTCTAGTTTTTCTACGAATTTTTTCGCATATTTTTTTTTTTTTTTTTGCCACGGATTTTCGCCAGCTAACACAAAATGTAGCAAGCATTCAAGACAGTTATTCGATCTCTGTCAATTTGGCTCAAGTTGTCAGCAAAGCTAAGTATATATAAAAAAAAAAAAAAAAAAAAAAAAATAAAATAATAATGTTTCAGCCCCTGCTCTAGCTGCTTCCATTCAGCAGCAGAACAAAACAAAACTTTGTGCCAGCAAGTTTTTCTTTTCATTTCATCAGCACGTGGCAGGTGGTGGAGGTTGGCGGGAGCAGGAGGTGCGACTAGGACATGGCTATTTATATCTGCATGTTTATGTCTTTAGGACTAGGTCAAAGGTAACTAGCATTAGCTGCCAAATTGATAAATCGAGCATTTAATGAGCCACAGCAACTGTTAGAGTACTCACACATACACAACGGCACACACACACATAGTGACACAGATCCCTAGCTAATGATTTCATTTTAAATTATTCATGCGTCTCCTAAGTATAAACAATTTTTATGG